CTGTGCTCAAGGTATCACTTGGTAACCAACCAAAAATTCTGTATACTGACAATGAAAACAATTTTGTACAGTTAAAAATAGTTATAAAATCATATGTTCTTTAAAACTGTAAAATTTTCACAAAATAGGGTATTAAACTCTACTTTTCAGTAAACAAAAATTATTGCTTCTTTTAAAAATATCGCTTTATGAAGCCATTTGTTATTCAAGTACTTTGTTAAAAAAGGGATTAAAATTATCTTACGCACATTTTCCGAAATATTTTAAATGGAATTGTATTTGAAATATTTTATTTTTGTTTTCTGAATATGCTTTTTATAATATTTAGAGCTAAAAAAGTTTTTACTACAAAATCGCATATCTTATTTCTTTAAAAAATATATAAAATTTCTGCTTTTTAAAAGGAAAAAATCTAAGCAAATTTGTTGCATACGACTACAGACTCATATTTTCTACAGTACAATATTTTTTTGGATATCTTTTCAAAACAATTATAGAGAAATTTTATTTTCAAACATCGTTTAGCGTCATTTCCTACGGAGAAACTGCTGCTTTATTTCATAAAACTAAAATCACCTATTGCTCTACTGAATTAAATATTTTCTTTTTCTGATTTATGGATTAACAAATATCTTAAAACTGGCTAAACTAAATGTATTTTTATCGTTCATTAGACTAAAACTCTGCACTTATTAACTAGAGTTTTGTGATCATCATCCTTTAGCCATTAATATGAAGTCTTAGTATGTGACGATCCCATCACTAGATCAAAAGTTATTTTGGGAGTATAATTTTTCTCTTTTTTGCACACTGTACTTGTACGATACTAAACAATTCAAATATTATGAATACTTGAAATTGATATTATATGCAAATTTGAATTATCTTGAACACCAATAGATCTGCAGATTAATGAATATTCCTTTGGCATTGGACATACAAGATTATTCGACTTAATTCTCTTAATTAATAATAACTAAAAGAAGTTTAAATATTATTTCTTTAATTAAATAATGCATATAAATTGAAGTTCTCCTTGAATGGGAAAGTATTAGTTTAAATTTTGTTTTGAAACTGCTGTAGCCACATTGAACCCTAGTATGCTAAACAATCCAAACATTATATATACTTCGAATTGATACTGCTTGTAAATTTCTGGAACAGCAATGGATCAACAATCTCATGAATATTCCCTTAGAAACCCTATGCGTGATCAAGATGCCATCATAATTAACCATGCATGAAAGAGACCACGATCTCAGAAATATATTGTCATGGGGACAGGATTTTAACCCCTATTATAAAATACTACGCAGGGGAATAGGTTTGTAATCATTAAAGCCTGCATGGATTAATTCCTTCAACTGTATTCAATTAAGCAATGAGAAGGATGGTTTATCTGAACATTATCGTGGAAGATTTGCATGGTTATGCTTTTAAGAAGTTTGTTTTGAATTATCGAATTCAGTTTACTTTGGTCATTTTAAAACAAAAGATATAGTAATTTAAATGACGGTAGGTCAATTTGAGTCTATTTACACAATTATCCATATGACGCAAAAATAAACAACGATTATGCCTTAATTGCAATTCACGACAAGTATTAAATGGAAAAAAAAAGTGCTTTTTAAATTTGACCGTTCGTGACAAAACAGAAGTTTCGATGGTGATATTTGTTTGAAAATAGTTATTAGTAAAAGAAAAAATTGTTTCAAAACTTTCTTCATACATTTTACTATAAATTAAATAGAATTAGGTAAAATCATTATATACGTTACATGCTTTTGGCTCGATTTTGAAAAATTTCACCAACGCCAGAGTGACGCGTTTGACGTTTGTCGCTAAGCTCAAGTTCAACCTCAAAATCACACCACGAATTCCAAATTACGGATGCAAAAGGGTTAAAAGGAAATAATCCCCTAAGTTACACCAAATCTACAGCTACAGATTGAAAATTTCAACGCCGTACCAATGTCGCTAAATTCACCGTGCAACTTATACTAGTATTAAGTCTAGAATTCATCTTAACGTAAGAAATTTCATAAGAGTACATAAGAAACATTTCGTAACATTTCGTAAGAGTTACATAAGAAATTTCAATGCAGAATGTAAGATAACTGTCCTAACTTTCACTACTACGAAATTGAACTCAACATCAAAATTATAATCAACATACTTTATTTATTAAGTTCTGAAATTGCAGGAAATGAGCAAACATTAAATTGCATACAGCTATATACACGCCTCTTAATCGCCTTTTTTTTTTTTGAAATATTTCTTAAAAATATTATTTTGTTTATGAAATATAAAATTTTTATAATTTTGTGTAAGGATATTTTGTCATTGTATTAATCTCAACAAAGAGAACAATTTTTTAATTTGAAAAATAATCAATTCTATTTGGAAAAAACTCTAAGTATATACTCTTGGAAATACAGAATGCATTGCACAATAAAAAGTAATAAATGAGAAGTAATTTAAAGGCTGCCTTATATTATAACGATGACCATATAATGTATAACAGTTCAAATTAGACGTTTCAAATTATACTAAAATACTTTATAACACTTAATGCCGTTATTTATCTCTTTTGATCTTTTATATTTTCAAAACATTTCGATATAAATGGTTAAGATTTTATCTGTTCAATTTTTGTAACTTTGAAAAGAATTAAGGTGCAAGCTTATAAAAAAATTAAACCATTTTTTAACCGTTATTTCATTTATTACCATTATTATTTCCTTTTTTATTTTTTTTTGTGCGGTACCGGTAGAAAAAGGCGAGCGATTGAAAGAGTCAATTTGCAACTTTGTTGAAAGCAAAAGGTAAGAGAGAAATGTTGAATGGTGTATGAATCAAAATTTAATTAAAGTAATTTGTGGGGTCATAAGAACTTTCCCTCCGGTGTCAAAATATGAGTCATCGGAGTAAAGGTAAGTTATTTTGTATTCTATTTAATAAATATTTTAATATATCGTAATAATTTAAATTGTTCTCTTTTTAATCATCAAAAAGCAGCGTTTTTCCCAGTAATAATCGCCAACTTGGCGAAATTTCAAGAGGTGGGCCATTTTAGAATTTTACCTAGCAATAATTTAAGCAGTGTTAGAATAGTTAGTTATATGTTAAGTATTTATTTAGAATTTTTATTTATCGACATAAAAACCTAGCAACAAATGATGGTTTAGATTTATTTTTGAATGACTAGCATAAACATTGCAATGGTGCCACATTTTATGCCAATTATTGGGGACAGAGCTTGCCTTTTTCGGGAAATAGCATATATATATTATATGATAATCAAGTCATAGCTCAAAAAGAAGCTGTACCGCACGTAATGGAACATTGTGATGAGTTTTCTACCTCATCTCACGACAAATATGGAAGTAATTTTACTACATCTGCATCCTACTGTGCTGCAATGTCCTAAACTTATACTTACCGTTATTTGTATGATTTACTGGTTTCCCTCATTTTAAATCATTTGACTCATTTTAAAGTTTTACTTAAATTTAGTATATAAGGAAATTTGTCAATATCGTGGAGATTTTTTCAAAATAGTTGAAATGAAATTAAAGTACTTCCGCGCTGGCAAAGCCGCGGACAGCAGTAAGACGCTGCTAGAATTTAATTAATATATAGTTTAAAGCGAATTTAGGTGTTAGTATTGGAGTAGAGGTTGAAGAATTACAGTGTCTTGGTTACCATTTACTGCAAACTAATTTTGAAAGGTGACCAAGCTGGTAACGAAAGATGGCTAGTTAGTAAATATAATACTAGATTTGGCAACGAAATAGTAATCCATTTAATCGACAAAATTGTGTAAATAATAAGAATACATAAATTTATAGACAGCAGTATTGCACCAAAAATGAACCGTATTCCTAGATTTGGGAATAATAAGTGATAAATTTACCTGAGAGGGAATTGCTTAAATAAATTCATTGCCTGATTTACAGTCAAAAATACTGGACTAAAATATTAGTATGCATAATCTTTCCTACATTTGGGGATTATATAGTTATTCATTTAATCGAGAGATAAAGTTGCTCAACCAAAAAATCTGTTGACAAAATTTGTTGACAAAAATGTTTACCGCAGAATATTTAGAGAATGAGTCACAATTGCATGTTTCCTGCCTCGAAGAAGATAAGAGATGCTGCTAATTGTTCCTTAGAGAGCTTGAAAATGAATCTTTATTACAAAGAAAAGACACCTAATTGGCGATGTTTGAGTTTATGTAAACAACTCATATTTTCTAAGATGATGTTATTCGCTCTTTTTTTGTTCCAAGCTGAATTCAAAGGAAGAATTAGTTGAGAAAATGGAATCTATGTTTACTTTTATTCATAGCTGTAAAGCATGAGAGTTATTGTTTAAAAGAATATTTTATACACTTTCTACAATAAATTGTCGAATTTTATAGAGGGATGTTTTGTTAACCCCTCGGAGAAAAAAAATCTCAAATCTTTCTCAAAAATTACAAAAAAGATCAGCCACCAACCTTAGGAAGTATGTAAAAGCTTATAGCTTTGAATTGACATCTTTTGTCACCTCAATGAATCAAAAATTCAGAAAATTTGACCAAATTTAAATGTTTAAAATTCAAAAATTTAAAAATTGGCTGTTTCAAGTGACTTATCTAAATTTTGGTATCAAGTAGGTGAACGCATGACATTTAGCGATAATTTTAAAAATAGGTCACGTAATATTTTTAATATACAGTAACTTTCAAGCATTACTATATGCATAGAAACAATAACGTTATATTCATTTATTTTAAACATTTTTAATAGAATTTTAACAGCATTTTTCATTAAGAGGCAGAGTTAAATTTATATTCATCTTAATGATGATTAATGGACATTTTTTCTGCTCTGTTCTTAAAATATTTAAAGTACTTGTTGTTTATTGTTGCTATTTGCCATTGCCAGCAAACCTGATTGGGAAACCAAGCGAATTTAAGGCAAAGGGTACGTTTACTTTTTTGTCAGTGGCACCATCTATGGCCAAGAATACGATTTCGGCGACACACGCGTCACAGTCAGCTTTTTTACCAAGCGGACCCATTCATACATTCATTCATTCATCCACAGATTTTAATATTGATCTGAAGCAGACAATTATCAATGCACAATTCAGTACTCCCAGAGGTATTGATTTTCATGGGAACTTGGAGGACTTTGTGACCCCGACTAATTCACAGTGCACTAGTCACCATTTAATGCATGGAAATTTTTCAGCCGGCGGGATTCAATCTCCTGTTCTTACGAACACGAGTTCAACGTCCTGCCAACTAGGCTATCCCGGTCCCCTTTAAGGCACTTACAAGGGAAACTAGGGAAGTGTGACTCGCCAATTTTGAAATAAACTAGTGGGATGTATGCCTTATGAGGAATAATTTTAGGGAGCAACATTCGTTTCGGCCCATAGAAGGTCCTGTAAGAGATAAAAAATAGTTCAATATATAGAAAAATCGGTATTTTATTACTTCAATGCAGACTATTAGTTATTGTAATTGTCTCATACTCCAATTAATTTGTAATTAATTGGATAATTAATTAATTTTCTAATTAATAAATCAATCAGAAAATTAATTATTAATTAATTATTATTTAATTGTTAATTAATTATTAATTGATTTGCAATTACATACTCCAACTAATTTGGAAAGTTTTTTGAAAAAAAAATTTAAAAAATTCGATGAAAATTTTTTTTTTTAAATTAACCTAACAGGTTTTTCTGAAAAACTACAGATATATAAAATTTTCAAAATCAATTTCGACAATCAATATGCATTATATAGTACGTGAAAGTACCACAAAATTAATTAGAGTATGAGACAATTACAATAACTAATAGTCTGTATTAAAGTAATAAAATACCGATTTTTCTATATATTGAACTATTTTTTATCTCTTACAGGACCTTCTATGGGCCGAAACGAATGTTTCCCCCTAAAATTATTCCTCATAAGGCATACATCCCACTAGTTTATTTCAAAATTGGCGAGTCATACTTCCCTAGTTTCCCTTGTTAGACACATTTGTTGCATTCAACCGGTCATATTTGTATTTTTATCCCGAGTTACCGAAAATTATTATCGAAATTATATTATCGAAAATTATACTTAATTATATTTTACTTTCTTTTCGTTTCTTTCATAAGCCCTTTTACTCGAAATTTTACTCGTACATGGAGAAAAAAGAATTTGGCATAATTACGTCACTGATTGGTGATGGTGTTTCTGGTTAAATAAATAAATAAATAAGCATACTTCTGATAATTAGAACCAAAATATATGATATTTAAACCTTTCATTTGGTAACTTTGCCTCCCATGCGGTAATGGTGTCCCGGAAATTCCAATTTTTAAAACACAGTTCTTATTGCCACTCACATTTAGTAAAAAATACAGAACTGAAAGTAAATTCTTACCGATTAATTACGCCATGCTCTAAAGTATCATGATAAAATAGCAAATTTTACCTTAATTAGTAAATTTTATCCCCTACTTTAAAAGTATATTTTATTGTTAGTTGTGCCAAAATCATTACCAAAGTGCGTTGTTAAATATTACCGAACTTTTTGCTGTCTCCATACTGTTCCCAATTTAATTATTTTCTGGTACTTTTAATCATATTTTTTTTCTCAGTGCAGTTTGAGAAAAAAAATCAGTGCTTGAATCGGAGTGCTGAATTTTTTTTAAAATTTTGTTTCAATAAAATATTTTAAAACATCTTCAGACATTTTAATTACTCGATGCATTATAAAACAATATTTAGCTATATTGGTTTATTAATTTCAAACTTAGTCAGCCCAACTGAATAATTAATAGAGCATTTTCTGCTACATTCTAGCCACTCTCAGTTTCTTTAAATGGTATTTTTATTAATCGAAAGTATTGTTTCTAATGCTTCTGTTATATTTTCGTTAATCTGGATTCGTACCGTTAAGAAGATGTGTAATCTCTGGAAAATAACTGTACCTTTTTATTTGTTTCTTTGGAAGATATATTTAGCATTTCCTGATAATATGTATCCGTCTTAGCAAATCACAATGTCACAGAGAAAAAACAATCTGGTAAACGTATCGCACTGAAAGGTAATTGCCTTTAAAAAAACAACAACATAATTCTGATTAATTAATCCAAAATATACGGTATTTAAACCATTCATTACTTATTTTTCCGTTCATATGGGATCGGTTTAAAGGAAATTCTGGTTTTAAAAATCAAACATTTAGTAAAAAATATGAAACTAAAAAGTAAATTTAACCGAATAAACGGTTTTCATGTCATGCTCTAAGGTATTATGATATAATTACCAAACTTCACCACATCTATCAAATTGTATCACACATTATAAAACTTTAATTTATCGTTAATTTTACCAAATTTGTTTTCAGTGAGTTTCAGTAAAAATTACAGAACTTTTTGGTGCTCTGATAGAGCAAGAAATATGGTACATTTTACGATATTCTGGTAGTTTTGATCATATTTTTTTCACAGTGTAATAAACTCTCAAATTAAAACTTTTGAAACTTACATATTTTAGATAAATATAATAAATAAGTAGTCCTCCGATAGCTGAAAATTTAGACTAATTTCGTTACAAATCCCATTAATGTACTAAATTTCTCTGTCCTTATTGATGTCATAGCTGTGGTAATTGCCAAATTTCTTGACAAAATAGTCTTGGGTGTCTTAGACTAACAAAACTTTGCTTTAAATTTAAACTTAAACAACATGAAAAACATGTTTAAAATTCAAAGTTATTAAACATTTTTCTTCTACGTAACTGGAATTCCAATTAGGTTTGATATTTTATGTACTAAAATAATTCAACTTTGCATCTCTACCACTGACCTAGATTTCCGGAAATCATTTCATGTTTTGCAAAATTCTAATAATTCAGTTACTGATATTTAAAGCAGTTTAAAATATCCTAATAATTCAATTACTCATCTTTAAAGTATCGCATTCTTATCAAATATTTTTAAAACTATTTTCTTTAAAATTCTAGATCTTGAAAGTCGGGATACCTCAGTTTAGGCCCAACAGACCTGTTTCTTATCCATCTCCTCTTTTATTGTGTTTTATTTAAGTTTGTTCCCCATCTTCTACTAGTCAATCCCTTTTTTCCTCATTGTAACTTTTTAATTTTTTCTTCCGCAATTTCTGTTTTTTCTTCGTTCATTCTTCGATTGAGCACTTTTGAAGAACCTTCGTTATAGTACTGAAACTGTAGCATGTAAAAGTTTTAAAAATATTTTTTGTGTTCTTTTAATGTTACTTTGCCTTTTTTAAGACGCAGCACCAAGTTAAATCTATCTTACTTTGACGATCGAACCACGGCTCTTCCGGAACAAAATCTGATGTTACAACAGCTGGGCTACCACAGCCCTTCTATATAAAGCTTTGCTTATAACTCATTTAGCAAAAATAATCTTGAAACCTTAACAAATATATGAGATTTGTAATGTACAGGAACATTTCATATAGCCTCAGATGATTTTGTAATTGTTGTTGTAATTGATGATGCAAAGTTTTGTTAAAATGATATAAACTTATATAAATTTCATTTTGTATCAAGACCACTTACGTAGAAGTTATTATGTCATATTATTTTCAAATTAAGTTATAAAAGTATTAATAGATAGCAAAAAAAGAAAAAAAAGTTAAGAGAAAAGCTAAGATTAATTTTTCTTCTTCATTTAACAACTTAAAACTTAAAATTGATGTTCTTTTAGAATTCAACAGAACTTAATATTTGCCAATTATCCTACCTATGAGGCTTTATATTTTCCCTAATGTGTGAGAAATGAAAACGCTAATACATTTCTTGATATCGAAATATTATTTCAAGGAATTTTTTATTCATAGAATTTATTTTAAGTCTATGTGACAAAATTCTAGATTAAGTATATTGCTTTCTGTATTTTTTAACTAACACATTTTTTAACAATTTTCTCAGAAATATATTTTTCCATACGATTAAGAAAAATACAACAGAAACATTTTTAATCTCTGATATTCTTGATCCCTTTAAATATATCTTCTCTGGAATTTTATACTTACTCCAAACATTCAACTTGTTTCTTATGTACATTTATTATTAAAAAATTTCTTAATAAAAATAAAACATTGCATATCGGTTAGGTTTTTTTGGGGAACTTAATTTCTATATCCACCATTTAAATGCTGACAAAGTGTTTCTAAGAAGTTTCTTAGAATAACAAAAGCAGCGTGAGATCCAACTTATAAAACAACATAATTATCAACCAAGCTAAGAATATGCAGGTGGGAATGACAATAGAGAAACGTATGCTTAAGTAATTGGCGCTTCTGTTTATTCTTAGAAAACAAATTTCGAGTTAATACGATGAATAAAAAAAGTATTAATTTTTTTCATGCTTAAACACGTAGTTATTATTAAGAACAAATTTTTATACTAAATTTTATAAATAAATGTACTATATGTATTCTTTGCAACAGATTGTTACATAAAAATTAAAATTTAATAAATGAAATTTTTCATTCTCTTAACACTTTCAATTAGGATAACATTTAAATCAATCAATTTTGCTCCTACGCCATTGCAACTTCATCAAGAAAAATTTGATTTTTTAAAAATTTTAATTTGAAAGTTATAAAAGTTCATTAAATATACAGCTACAGCACCAAACGTTGCTTAAGAACTCAAAACAGTTGTTTTATATTCATTATTTTAATAAGATACCGTGATTGAATTTGTAATAAAATTTTTAAACTTATTCACTGCTGAATAATTTTAAAGTGGAGAGTAAATATCTTTATCATAATCTATTGTATAATAAGATAATATCAAATGATCACCAAGTAATATATGCAAATAAATAAAAGAACACACACAGAAGTTACGAAAGTTTAGTTACAAAACTTTTAATTAATTTTAAATAATAACCGAAAAAGATTGTACCAATAACAGATAATAATATTATGGGATATTGAAGAGATATGCTAATATTGCTGATAAACACCGTTTAATGAGGAATGTACGAATAAATTGCGAGTAATAAATTTTAAACATAATACGTTTTTATTTAACATTTAACTTTGTATTAATTGAAACGTTATAAGTATTTTGCTATTATATTTTGATTATTAAGGATCATAACTCAATTGATAAAGGTATGTGTAGTAATAAGAACTTAATTTTAAAAACCAGAATTTTCAGTAAACTGTTAAATTATGGACAAAAAATTACTAAATAAATGGTTTAAATACGCTTTATTTTGGTGCTTTTTAACCAGAATCATGTTTTTTTTTCTAGAAATGTCATTAGTATGCAGTAGGACAATTGTATCAAAAACTTTTTTTTCAGAAATTTTTTTTAAAAGAATATTATTGAAAAAAAACAAGCTCAATTTTAAAGCTTCTTTTCAGTAAATACGTAGTTAAATTTTTATGATAAAAAGGAAAGTGATTATTTAAAAAAAGTTTTCTACAATCATGACTTTATAAGCGTTATGAGAAATATAATACTTCTTTCGCACTGTTAGAAATGTTTCAGAAAAAATGGGTAAATAGCAATTTATTTAATTGTTACTTTACCACATTAAACCACAACAGTCAAGTAACCATAGATAAGATGATAGTCAAACTGCTAATTGTGAGAAAAACCGTTCATTGATTTCACCTAATAAGGTCAAACAATCAGAACTTTATCGCACTAACTAGGCCCACTTAGGTAGCTTTGTTCCTTTCAAATGGGTACATATATTATAGCCGAAATGACTACTCTATCAATATTATGACCGACAGAACGGGGTTTCGAGTGCCAGCGTTGACATCGCAATATTTCCTTAATTTCCTTCGACCCAAGGAGAGTTTCTAGTGTTCAGCACTCTTCAATTTGTGACCCTGAACTATTAGAATAAGATTATCTCATTCACGCATGAATGGTAACTCTATAAAACTGCTGACATATTTCCAATGCCAAGTTAAATTTCTGTTTTACGATTTTGAAAACATCATGCTAGGTAAATGGCTAAAACACAGTATAGTTTTTATTGCTTTTTGACAATACTAGATAAAAACGGTTTAAAAACCATAAAGGTAAAAAATGTTCTTTTCCGGAAAGTTAACAGTTAATTGGATGAACAGACTGCTGCCAGTTGTTTTACCCTAGTTTTAGAATGAAAGTTCTAGCAGCGGGATAGAATAAAAGTTTTGATTGGACTGAAGTTAAATTCCACAAAAATTAATAAATTTAAATTTTTTACCATAATTTAAATTTATTTGAATTCTAGAATTTTTACTCCAAGTATAAGCTGAAATTCATATGTATAAGAAAAATATATCTTGTTTTACATTAAATTGCATATGAAGAAATAAAATTTGATAAACTCTCTTAATAGTTTTTCTAAAACCAACATTCTTTACGCATGTTTTTCTCTAACTATTCAAGTTTCTATCGATCTAAACTAAGAATTCGTCATTTATAGTTTTAGAAAAATAGTTCGGTTTTGGCTATTATTATAAATATTTTTTTTAAATAAAAAATTTTAAAAATCAACTTTTTTTAAAACTTGAAATAAATAGAAATTAATAAACATCTAAAACTACATTATCGAAAACAGATTATTTAATTGAAAAGAAAATTAGGAAAAAGTATTAGATGCCGCAATTAATAGAATTATTTTATATTTATCAGAAATTAAATACGTAGTTACATACAAAGTCAATATACAATACAAAGTCGTTAATGCAAAGATGACTTTGTATTGTATATAATAATACATTATATACAATACAAAGTCGTTAATACAAAGTCAAATATGTTATGCCGAAAGATATTTTTTTATTCGTTTTATTTAAAATTATATTTTGAATTTAAAAAAAATCATATTTTTAACTTGGTAAAAAATTATATTTTTTTAGAAAAGGGAAAGCTATATCAAAATTAGCATATAATAAGTTTTATTTACTATGTTTGTTTATGCAAGGTTTATTGAAGGGGAAGTAAAAAAACAATATAATGCAATTTATCTCAAATTAGCTCTTAATAGTTAATTTCAATCTCTACCACCAATCAAGGAAATAAAATATTTTAGGTTGTGTAGTTTCCATCATAAATTGCAATACCGCCGTAAAATCCTGTAAATTATTACCCATAAAAGCATCGTAAATCATTTATGAAAGAACGCATGAACGCATTGCTTTTTTTTCCTATTATTTTATTACTTCTTTAGATTTTCTCCTCTTAACATGTATTTGATTTTTCTGGATTAATGTTAAGGTTTAGATAGCAGTAAATATAAGAAAACTACAGCTTGTAAAAAAATATTGTCGACTACTAAATTAGTAAAATATGCAAATCATTCAATGAATATTACTTTAATATATATTTACCCTTTAAAGTACACTGTAAAATTACTGTGAAAAGTACAGGTACTCAGAGTGCCGGTACGTTTTACCGTAAAATCTGTTTTTACTTGAAAAAACGGAACATTACGGGAGAAAAATATCTGATATATTATATTTTATGCAGTAATAACTGCAGTAAAATAACTGAATCATTCTAATTAAATAAATATTAATGTAAAAATTACGGTATAATATTTTACCGTTAAATATTTACTGTAAGAGTGGTGGTACTTTATATCGTAATTTGATTCGAGATTTTTTACAGTAGCAGAAAAATATTACTTTTATGGATATTTCGTTATTTTATCGAAAATATTTCGTTGCATTTATGTCAAATTCTCTTTTTTAAATTTTACAATATATTTTATGAATTATATCATTTTAAAATATAAAATTACATGAAGTAGGGATTTTCTTATGTATTGCGCTAATGAATTTTTAAAAATAAATCATGAACATACTGGTTATTACATAGTGTTCACGAACATTATTAGACACATTACATTAATGTAACAGATATAAAAACAGTTGTCCTTACTATTATTAGTAGCATTCATTTTAAAGAAGACAATGTATCAAAACGTTACTAGATACTTTTAAAAAAGATAATTTTACATGTTCAAAAATATTCTTGAGGGTAACTGTCCAAAGATTTTTATAAATAACGCTCAAAAAATATAAAATTAGATTTTGAACTATTTCTATAATTTTTTTTGTTCTAATTTCCATCTAAAAATCAAAAGACTAATGTTTGTTAAAGTGTTAGGTTGAAGTATCTTCTAGTATCCTTCTCAATTTACTATTCTATTTAATCCTTCTTAAATTTCGAACCTTTTGTAGGTAACTTATTAATATCTTCAAAGCTGCAGACATTTCTAACAATTTAATGTCTAGATATATTTTAATTTTAAAGTAAATAATTAATAAAAAGTTAAAATTTAAGAAATATATTTAAGATTTCAGAAATTTATTTTTAACGCTTTCTTGTTTAAATAAATGTTAAATAGATTTTTTTTAAAATAAATATTTCAATGAATCATTATTTTGATTGTAAAATTTGTTTAGTTGAAAAAGTAAAACGACACAAAAAGGAAATTTGCATTAGACTAATTATAATATATTTTTATTGCATTTAGGCGTACTTTTAAAATAGAAAGATATGTCATGTTTAATTCAGATATATTCAAATTTTATGGAACATTTGTTTATACATTTTCACTTCGAAACTACACCGTTTTGAAACAGTTTAAAAACTATTAAAAAAAAACGATAATGTTTTTCTTAACATTTTTACATAAAGCAAGAAAACGAGGAACTATAAAATTTTTATGCTGAAGAGGAATTAGCATAAAAGTCGAAGCATTTTTTTTTTCAATTTTAAACAGCTATTTTTAATTCTAATGTTGCTAAAAAAAAACAGTTTTATGTTTCCAAATTAAAACTTTTCGTATAAAATATTTTCGCATTTACATACAAACCTTATTTAATAAAAATTTTATTTTTTTTCTAAATATTTCATTTCATTTAAAATCAGAAATGTTCTCTCTTTCTTTCTAAATCTCAAAAAGCATGTTTTAACAAGTGAAAAATATACTTCTATTCAATTTCAATTATTTGTCAGGAAACTTGAACTTGCAATATCAACAACTATTATTAATAAAAATCAAATGATTTTAAATAAAGTAATATGTCACATGTCTTAACAATGAGCAATTACATACTTGTCCTACCAATATTTACTTTGATTTGCCATTATACTTATGAGCAAGTTCATGACCAAGCTTAATAATTTATTGTTAATTATGAATATTTATTATTGTTTTATTATCAATTATGTATATAATTCATTGTATATATATATACAATGAATGTAATATATATATATA